AAATTGTTCGTGACTTTGTACAAATAATTTTTGATTAAATAAAGATGGCTCTCTTGGAAAGATCCCAAATTGGTGTGAAGGAATTTGGTAGCGCAACTTTCGTGCAAAACGACCCGAGAGCGAAGCTGATGTACTATTTGAGCTGCGTTTGCTCCGTAAGTGGACGAGTTAAAACACTTCCGTGTTTGCTTGACGGGCCGTTTTTCTTCTAGAAAAGATTTCGGATTAGTTTTCACAACTGTCCGCATCCTACTGATGAGTCAACCACTCAGTTCGGTCCATTTGTGGGAATAAAACTATCACTTTGTATCCACGGTATAGAGATGAGGTCATTTCTAAAATATTCAATAAAAACAAAGAAACAAACACTAGTATTCGGGCTTAATCCAGCAAACAAATCTTGCACCGTCGACTTATTTTATATCTTCGAATCTATCAAGATCGATGGCTCTACAAAATAGAAAAAGCCAATACGTTGTAAGCACTGATAGTTATAGCCAGAAGTGCGGAATTTTTAAAGGTCAGCCGGAATATGAGTTTCAACACTGCACGTTAATTGACAATCTCTAAGAATCTAAGAATCTATATTCTCGTATTCCTATATAGGAAACACTTCAAAATATTAACAAAGAACTAGCAAAACCCCCACAAAACTTGCTTTAATTTAGTTTTGATTTTCAAACTGTGTTTAGGTTTTAGATTTGCAACAAAATGTTCCATATCGGCTTACCCAACATGCCACCACCTACAATCATTTAACACCAGATGAGATGACGGAGTTGATGGCGCTTTGCATCCTATTTTCACCAGATGTCCTCAAAGATCAGGTCTTTTTTTATGACAACAGTAGCTTCGGTTCCCGCAACAGGTTCCTTGAGCTCTCTGCCGTTAAGAGCTCCATGCTGGTGGCTGGAGATGTGATAATCGGCGGGCAGCGGAGACGCGTAGCTAAGATAATGACTTGTACCAGAGAATGGTTACAATACTACTACGAACAACCAATGGCTATGATGCTCTCAAGACGAATGTGCGCTGCACCGGCATATAGACCAGCTATTCAAGCACCACCACCACAACCTACAATATACTACACCCCCCAAGCAGAAATAATTCCGGCTGTTGTGTTATTCTGTAAGATTATGATCAGGACTTTACCCAATTGATCAGGAAAAGATAGTGAAAACCACAGGAACAGGCAGTCTTCGTTTAAAATTTTTATTTTCAAATGTTCATACAACTACAGTTGGATATATTTCCCAAGCTTCTGTCAATTAAGACGTATGATTCATATAAATTATTAGTTAGAGCTCCACTAACACTATAAAGCATTGATATTAGCTGCATATTATATTAAGTTGTAAATTACTAGGAGCAAAATATATATATTGCAGGTTATTCTATAATACAGTAACAATGTAGAGTTTGATTATTAAATACTAGTTGCAAAGTGTCGACATTCTGCATAGTTATTTCACGTAAATCATGTAATGGTAAATAAAAAAGCACACACAAAAAACTATTTGTTTGGTACCTGAGTGGAAAAATACTTGACCTTTTTTCATTGGTAGTAGTCCTCATAGTAACCTCTATGCTCATCAGCAAAATATTACTGAAGTTATCGACCATTTGCTTTCCTGTGACATGCAGTAAATGCACTGATACCCAGCATAGTTTAAACTACCTGTGGACTATTTGAGTCTTTTCATAACAGTAAGGATTGTGAAGTTGCAAGGATCGCAAGTCTCCTTTTTTTACAGTCATATCCGCTTGTTAGTATTAGATTAAAATGTCACTGTGCATCTGAATAGTCAGTTGCCTCAGTTGTGAAGAAGTCCTCAAGTTGCCATTGCAGTGTCTCAAATGTTGGTCGTTCATCCGGAACTGCCTTCCAACATTCCAACATGATTTGATACAAAGCATTAGGGCAGTCTTTCATCTGCTCCATACGATATCCAGCTTCAACCTTTCCCAAAACCTCAGAATTTGTCATTCCAGCATATGGAATACGCCCTCGGGTTACCAGCTCAGTAAGTAGAATCCCAAACGACCACACATCAGATTTTATAGTAAACTTATGAAATAGTGCAGCTTCAGGTGCAGTCCATTTGATGGGGAACTTTGCACCCTCATGCGCGATATATTCATCATTATTGATAATACGGCTTAGACCAAAATCAGCAATTTTTACAATATTTTTCTCACCAACTAAAACATTTCTCGCAGCAAGATCACGATGAATATATTGACATTCTTCTAAATATGCCATGCCTTTGGCGACTTGGGCACCCATGTCAATCAAAATTGGCAGACTTATCCTCCGATTATGATCATTTTGAAGAAACTCCAACAAACTTCCATTGGTCATAAGTTCAGTGATAATGTAAATTGGATCACCCTTTGTACAAACAGCAAAAAGTTGAACAAGTTTTACATGTTTGAGTTTTTTCATGATTTGTGCTTCCTGTAAAAATGCATTAGCAGTTTCCTGAGTTGCTTTTGAACCAGACTTTAAGGTTTTTACAGCAACTGCTGTGGTTTCATTCCATAACCCCTGCCAAACCTCTCCAAACTGACCTTGTCCTAGCTTATTGAGAAGACGGATTTGGTCACGTGGGATTTCCCACTTGTCGTTTGTATCATGGGACAAGCCAATGGTGGTAGGAGTGTCAATATGAGGGCAAGGTTGATGAAGCTGTGCACACAGGCCACTTGCATTGATTTTGTAGAAATCTACCAGTTCCTTTAATGTAGTGAACACCTCATTTCTCGCGATGAAATAACCACCTTGATCAAGAGTACGAATTCGATAATGTTTGATGCTTTCACCATCACGTAGGGATAGGGAATAACCACCTTGTTGCGTTTCACTTTCCCTGATGAGGAATGAACCTTGCTCCCCGTGGTTGATCAACAACTTTTCAGCATCACTTCGCTTCATCGGTCCAAAAAACCATCTAAATATAAAAATATTGGAACCTTTATAAATTGATAACATAACACCTGACTTTAATAGCATTACATTTTATCTAACAAAACGAAACTTTTCTTGTTGATAAAACAGCACTGATAGCATTTATCATTTGACCTCTATAAGAACACTCTTGAATTTGAAATGTATGATACATAATAATGTATTGGCCTTCATATGAACATCCTCAATATTTGGTCATAACCTAAACACACCACAATTAAGTGATGGCTGACTGCCAAATTATAAAGGCATACAATGGCATCGAATAATATTTACGACATATATGTAAAAAATATTTCGTTTATTTCCTGATGATTTCAAGATATTTTATTATGCCATATTAATAATGTCTACCAACGATACTTTTTGCCTATCAATATCTTGCATAGATACGAACGAAATATTAGGACAACATCAAAGATCGCTTAGAAACTACCCAGTTGAAAGATTTCCGTATGCCTGATTATTTTTTCATAAATGCATATATAAATGCATATTTTATATTATTGTCATATTTTCATAACACATAAAATTCGATATCTTTTTCCAACCACAAGACAAAACCCAGCAAAACGTTCGCTCATATTTTGTAACTTCGAGTCATATTGATCTTATTGAGGTTCTGACTTGCAAAATAAAACATGCGATTTAAATACTTTAGATTCTTTCAGGAGATCGGATAAGAAATAAGTGTTGATCATCGCATTATATTCACGAAGAGAAAGACCACAATTACACCGGAACATTGAACTGAAATTATTATCTTAAACCAAGCCCATTCACTCAAATTCACTTGGTTATATGGCCATGGGAAGGGAAAATGAAAATCGAACATTACAAATGTAGCAAATTAGGAATTTCGAGTTTCGTACAAATGTAGCAAACTACGAGTTTCAGATCGAGACAAACACCGTGCAAGTGATCGCTGTACTTGATCACAACTTTATGACGAAATGCTTCATTCATATTACGAGTGTTTGTATATTGACGTACATTCCCAGTGGGCGAAACCAGTTTAAAATGCAATACTTGGTGTTAAAAAACAAACACATTTCAACTTACTCCTCTGTTTGTAATGACGTTACTGGAGCGATATAATTACTTGGTACGTATCCGATTCACCAGAAACCAATGATTTTGCTTGCCACCAGCCACCTTCTTTGTTATTGATAATTTCCATTTTTTCCCCCTTATTAAAGCTGAGATCTTCGGCCGTTCTTGCCTTGTAGTTGTACAAAGCAACGTACAACAGCCTTTCTTCGGCTGTTCTTCGACCAGGATTTGCTTCAACGTTATTCTCCTGACCATTTTCCCCATTCTCATTTTCACGTATGATTCTCAGGAATGGAAAACTTTTAGTCCACTTTATACGACGCCTTGGCGTTGAGACAACGCCGCCCATAATATAAAAGTTTTAATAATCTACTCTGCTCAGAAATGTATGAATGTTGGCATGTCGTGATCAAACTGATCATACATAGCCTAGAGGAAGCAACGACGTCGTAATAATTTCATGCTTGATCACAATCTTCTGTGAATCAACTTTAATTTCTGAATAATTTGACAATATTTTTCCGACAGATTATATTCAGTCTGAAACTAGTTTGCGGATGTCTGAAGTGAACAATTTAGGTGGGCGACCACTCGACCACCAGGGGACATACCGCGTGAAGAAGAGGGTCATCGATGGACAGATTAAGATCGAAGTAGTCAAAGTATCCGTTTTGAACCTCTCCATCAATCTTGGACCCCCATTCATATCTGATCGTTATGTTATACTATATAACATTTTGTCTTTGTCTTTGCCCCAAAATAGTCGTATTTTTCATACTGTGTCAATGTAGGCTCATAGTCAGGAATCTTAGAGTTACTAAATAGTAAATTGAACTGTCTGGATCACTCATATACATATCTATTTATCTTTACTCCCAACTGTACCTATTTGTAGATATCCACATCCAAATCTATCCATCTTCAGTCCTTTCTATTCATCTTTGACACATGATTGTCCCTCAAGTGTCTGTTCCAATATGGCGAGCAAAGAGCGAAGTTCTAGTCGAGCAATGCCTGCAAGACAAAGGATTGAATCTGTCAATTTGGAAGGTTTGGTATGTAAAAAAACACCACAAAGCATAAGTATAAATGTAGGGAAAGGCCGGAATGAATTATGCCTCACGCGTTTGGATATAAGTTGATGATACAAGGTTCTGATTTCCGTCATAATTCACACGTGTTTTAAATGCATTACGTGTTATATAGAGATGTTTACAACTTTACATGTTTTTTTTCATTTCAATGATCAAAGATGAATTCATTTGATAGAATGAGCCTGGTTGTGTAGATGATAACCATATTGAGGGAAATTTAATTTAAAAATGTTGTACAAAGTACAGAAAACAGAAAGCTTATCATTATATTCATTGGACGTTTGTAACCTGTAGGTTGTTCTTAAGATAATTCAACATTGTCAGGAAGAAGGGGCAGAAGGTGATGTTGTTCAAGGAGTGTTGTTGGGTTTGGTTGAAGGAAGTAAACTTGAAATTACAAACTGTTTTCCCTTCTCTCAAAACTCTGAAGAAAATGATGAAGAGGATAGTAAGTCAAAATGGAAATTTGATAAAACTTTTTCAGTTCTTCTGTACCACCATTTCCTTCTTAACCAGCCCCCTCCTACCCTTCCCTTGTTTCAAATTTACACCCCTTGCACTTTTTCACATTTACACCCCTTCCTTCCACTCTCCACCTTCATTCCATTTCACCCCATTCATTCCTCATACTTTTGTGAAGACACATCACACATTCACAGCACAATTTCATTACCTTCCCAGTCTATTATCAAATGGAAATGATGAGAAACTTAAGATCAGTAAATATTGACCATTTACATGTTGGTTGGTATCAATCCATTTACCTTGGAGCCTTTGTCAATAAAAACCTGCTTGACTCGCAATATGGTTACCAGAACTCTATCTCAGAATCTGTGGTACTAGTATATGGTGAGTTGTGGAGCTTTTGTGGTTTTACAAGAGAGAGCAGATGACATTCATCTTATACATTTTTGTTATTTGAATTTCAATCATATATATCAGATCCATTAAAGACTTCACAAGGTATATTGTCATTCCGAGCGCTTCGACTTTCCCAAAAAATGATGGATTTGTATTCAGAAAAAGAATTCACTCCTAGCAGGTAATAATTTTATTCACTGTTAATATAATTGTATATCTTGGACATGCACCAGTACCTACCAATAGTTTATGTTTATAGTTTAAACAAAGTTGGTATGAAACATGATGAAATGTTTGAAGAGATACCATTGGTGATAAAGAATTCAAACTTAGTAAACACGCTATTGTGTAAATTGGATGAAAACTCAACGGAACCAGAACAAAACGATTTCTTGTCTTTGGCGAGAGGGTTAGTTGACTATTGGCTTTTAATGCAGCCAAATGCACAATTATAACAAATTTGTATGATTTTGTTTGATTTAAACCAATGCAGGAACTTTATTGAAAAGAATGTTCAACTCTTAATGGAGACTGTGGATGAACTAGGCCAAGACACACAGAAATTCCATAACTATCAACGCAACTCAGCTAGGCAACAGCAGCAGAAAGATGCCTATCTTATGAAAAGGGTAAGGAGATATGTGATGATTTTGCTACGAATGAAAAATGATACTGGTATGACAGGATTTTAAGTGACATTTGCAATGGAAAATTCCGGCTAACAATTTGTTTCTTGTTCTGTTTAGAAAGCGGAAAACCAAGCGCGCAAAGAACGAGGAGAACGACCATTACCTGAGGAGGACCTGTCAAAATTATTCAAGCCACTGCAAGTTCCCTCTCGACTGGATAACTTGTTGTTGTCTGGACAGGCAGAAAATTATTGTAATGAAATCAATGGGTTTGCTTCAGAAAGTTTTGCTAAACTTTTCCTTTCTGAGGCACTCCAAGATGCAGCTCAATGATCTCCGAGAGAAATTTACTGAGAAAAAACATTGGATTGATTTATTTAAAACGTCTTTTCTGGAACAAGCAATTCTCCTTCAAAAACAGGTAAACTGCCACAGAAAGGGTCATTGGGTGTACAGGCAACTAATAAATAAATAAAAAAGATAACAACTATGGCATTTAGTATATTCATTTAAAAAATATTCAGATGTGGCGTTTGAAACGCTGCTGAATAAATCCGTTATATCCAGTGGTTATAACGCCGTTGAATAAATCCGTTATATCCAGTGGTTATAACGCCGTTGAATAAATCCGTTATATCCAGTGGTTATAACGCCGTTGAATAAATCCGTTATATCCAGTGGTTATAACGCGTTGAATAAATCCGTTATATCCAGTGGTTATAACGCCGTTGAATAAATCCGTTATATCCAGTGGTTATAACGCCGTTGAATAAATCCGTTATATCCAGTGGTTATAACCGTTGAATAAATCCGTTATATCCAGTGGTATAACACGTTGAATAAATCCGTTATATCCAGTGGTTATAACACTGTTGAATAAATCCGTTATATCCAGTGGTTATAACACTGTTGAATAAATCCGTTATATCCAGTGGTTATAACACTGTTGAATAAATCCGTTATATCCATGGTTATATCTGATGGTAATGTCACAGATAATGACGTCAATATCTCTTCCTGCTACGTCGTAATCCCATTCAATACTCAACCCAGTCCCTGCCTTCATATTTCTTCAATATTCTCAACCTTATCCCTGCGAACTAGTTGCTATATCAGTATGTACATGTATAATAAACATGTTTCTTTGCCAATCGAGTGAAGCCGAAGGTTTTAGTATTACTGTCCACTTGTTTTTTTTTCTACCAACATTCACGTTAGTTCCACATGGAATCGTGGGATTATCTTCGGATCTTCCTTCCGATTTTGTATTTTTTACTTTTGCGTTATCTAACCATTCAGTTCAGTGGTCGCTTTGAGTTGTAAACTTTATTTCCAGTCGCGTCTGTTGAACAGCGGGCATATTTCAGTAATAAAGCTTTCAATGACTGACCAGGCGATTCCAAATCTCTGAATGAAACGAAAACAAATGTTATTCAAAAAAAATGATCTGGTTTATTTTGAGACTCTACGGTATGAAATTTTGTGCATGTTGGCTATAGAAGACTTGGAAACTGATACTGTCAACAGATAGAAGTTTGGTTTACACTGAAACTTACGCTAAGTATGGCTGGATGTCATCTAACGTCCATTTTTCTCTGGTCTTGAACAGCTTATTAAATCTTTGACGAGAAACATTGAGAATCAGGACAGAAGCAATGCGGGAGGGTGGGGGAGAGAGGACTATTGTTAGCCATGGTTCTAGCATACTGAATGTCATAGTGACTGAGGGTACCGGAGATACACTAATCCTACCTCATGGCCGGATCCGAGGGAAGATTATCCTTTGGAAAATGCCATATGACAGCTGGTGATGACGCCATATCGCTTAGAGCAATACCCTATCACAGAGGTACGATATGAAGAGACGTATTTCATATTGAGGGCAAGATATTCCTAATACGGTTTACCACAAATCGTGACAATCTACAGACTACAAGCTAGCCGCAGAGACGCCAAATACTCGAATAAAAGACTTGCAGTCTAGACTCGACTTTTTGCGAACAGTGATTACGTGCACTTTTTACTCGACTTGAAATTAAAAACTCGAAATTAATACAACCAAATTTTAGTACTGTATTGGAGGAAAGAAACTCCTGGTCTAAATCACAATCTTTCAAGCTGGAAACAGTCGAAAGCGCCCTAAGTGAGTGTCTGATATGAATATACCATGAATGGCCAACTACCTGAAGATGAGTGTCGTCCACGTGCATTCCCTCAGGGACCGTCTGTTTCCAGGCTTCCATAAACTCATAATAGTTGAACTAGACATTTTAAACAGCTCGTTATATGTAAATCTGAGAAGTATTCTGAGAGAAAATTACTGTAAAACTGTAGTTTGTACCAACCCTTCCTGCTGGTCGTAAAAGAAACTCCGCATAAAATGTACAAACTTTGGCTTCTGATAGTTTATAGTAAGTTTCCTCGTTACCTGGTAAACGACAAAAGATGCTGTGTAAGCGTGATTGTATCTCGTTTCTGGTAAACGACAAAAGACCCTGTGTAAGCGTGATTGTATTCGAGGTGTTGGTATGTATGAGCGGATTCTTTGAAAAGTCAAACAATATTTTGATTATAGACAATCGTATCGTGTGCACGGGTGTCAGTTACCTTCTTCTGTTTCCATTGAGACTACCTCTCCATAGCACTTCAGGCAATGGGAAATTACAAATCTGTGAAAGTACGCATTGGACTAAAAGACTAAACATAGTTGTTGCTGCTTTGTTGTAAGTTATGATTACTGAGAATTTTGACTGGGTTGAATGAGCAGTGAACCTAGCCTCTGTTTCAATTACCTGGGTTCCAGTTCTTCCAAAACGTCGCATGTTTCTTTCATGGGTACACGATCATAACTCCAGGAGTTTTCATCCAGTAAATTAAGGATGGCGACCACGACTTTTTCACGATATTCTGTCTCCAATATCCGCCAGTAGCCTGTGTGTAAATAAACCACCCTCAATAAACATGTTTTCCTCTCTTTTATTACAGCAGGGTGAACAGAATTGGTAGGAAATCCAGGTGTTTGATAGGGAAAAGGTGAACACACGTCTCACAAACGACATAAATCAGAACACAGGTATATCAAATCTCAGAGAGTGAAGTGAAATTATGTATAATGAATTACTCAGAGTAAACAACGCTTGTTTTTTGTACGTGTCACTGACCATTTATTTCAAGTGCTTCCATCTCCCTTAATCCGTTTCTTAGCTCATTTTCACTGGCCTGGACTCTCTCGCGTAAATCCTCAAGCGTATACTAGAAAATCATCAAATTTGGTGAATGTCTATTATTTTTTTTGTTCAAAGTCAATATAATGAATAGATTTCCCCCATAAAAACTATTAATAATATACAATACAGTATGTCATTATTTGCAATCCCTAAAATTGTAGGTACCCACTCTGACAAATAATCCATCTTTCACTTGTTTTTCAAATGTCTCTCCCCTGTAGGATGTCTCTTCTAACAGTTTCTTCAATCCTTGTAGTTTTGCCTGACAGTGTCTTAATTCATAATACATTGATACACATCCACATATCTGAAAAACAGACAAAATATAATGATTTGTACATATCTTGTTGGTTATAGATGTTCAGCTATAGGAATCTATGCTGGAACATTTCACTGTAGTTATTTTAAAATTGATGTGATTATTTTAGTTTTACTCCAACCTCACTTTCTTTTAGGACTTCTGAGGAATCAAATTCTAGGAGTAAAAGAAACAGGTGCTAGATGTTGCTGGGATTATAGATATTAATACGGATGGATGGATATTATCATATTTTAATGAAATTGCATTTACCTTGCATTGTAGGTAAGAGTGTGTTTGAAGTCAGTAGCATTGTATTGGACATGTCAGCAAGCTTTAGATCAAAGGTGTCATTCTCCGTACACAACACAGCATCATCCTGTACATCACCACGTATAACAATCCTTGCAAATTAAAATAATTCAAAATTATGCAGAACCATGACGTTTAAAGCAATGGCTTATTGTGATAAGTTTTTACTCTTGACAATCTATCAGATTTTGTTTGTCAACACTTTGCAGGCACAGTAAGAGGCTATATGGCACCCTGACAAAAACCACATGGTATACCCCTACAATGAAATACCAATTATACCCATATTCCCAAAACCTTTTGTGGCTCTGACTTTGGAGAATATGTGAAGAATGATTTGCAAGACATCCACAGACTACCCACAAGTCAGTACATCTGCACCTACACTGGATCTCAAAATAACATTGATTACAATACAATACACTGCCTACCGTTCACCATCCTCAAAGCTATCCAATACTCCAGAGGGTAACTCTAATAGTTTATAATTTTCGCTCATAAGATTGTCTGAGAATTTTAGCACCTGAATGACACCACTTGTTTTCTTTAGTCCTGCAGCATTGGCTGCATCTGTTACTTGGTCTAAAGTTCTAGGTTTAAAAGAACACAGCGCTTTACTTGCACAGTTGTACTGTATTAGTGTACTTAATTATACTTGTTATAAAGCTATACCGCATGTACATATGCCAATGTCTGTACAACAGTAATGTACACCGGTAAATTTTGATTAGAAATTACTTCGTTCATAGGTGATAATGTGAAGGCCAACGTAAGTAAAAAGTTTCATTTAAAAATTCAAAAACCCCGCACCTTGTCGCAGCCATCTTGGATAAATTTTCAAAATATATAAATACATATAATAACATATTATCGCGCAAATTTGATAGTGACTGGCCTGATTGACCAATAGGAAACCGTTTATGCAAATGCACATCAGCCAATAAAAATACGTCATTTTCCCGCGTTTGGATCCAGAGTAGTCAGAGAGCAGCGGATGTCTGGGCCGAAACTGCGCATGCCTAACTGCGCACAGCAGACCCAAGATCAGAGGGACCAAATCAATGCTTCGAGGTACACGTGATACTGTATAAATTTGTATAAAAACGCTGATAAAAACTTGACATTACGTGATCCTTATGTGTTTGTGACTGTGTGGGCGACTTTATTGTAATGTAAACAGCATGGGTGCATCGTTATGATTGTAATATATATATTTGCATTTTTGCATTTATATATGTTGAACAACCCGGTTCATATAATGAAAAAAAATCCTTACTGAGGCATTGGGCGGAATTTGTGCTAATTACGGAATGAATTTGTGACCTACTAACCTATATGGGTGAATTTTGTTGAACATAACACACGATCTTAATTAACTCACGCTGGGTCATACTGTTTGTAAGTCATCGATCACCTGTTCACAAGGCATTGTCTTGCAGTTCACCAGACGCTAAGTATTCCAAGCGGAATTCAGCGCTAGATAGAGCGGAATTTGGAGCGAGGAGGTGAAGCGGAGCAGGGTGGGGCTCTTGGGGGGTGGTGATGGGTGACCTTGCCTCCAGAGATGTTTTAATTTAGCACGACTTATACCAGAAATCGGGTAACCATAATCAAGGGTGGTCAGGTTTGATCTAAACCCTGTCCAATTTTTAATGTTTTACTGAGAAGATCTTTTCTTTATTCAGGCGATATTCTCCGTCAGTGCGACAGTAATCACGGTTATTAGCTGGAGTCCAAAAATGGGGATGAAAAACCAAAACTTCATCTAATACAAATCACTTCGTTTTTCGCCCAAGTAACGACCATCGCGTGTCTTTCATAAATGCATCATTAAACTCCGACGTTTAATATTCAAAACGTACACCGCTTTTAACAACACATTTTCATCCTTTCGTAATTTGTCAGTAAAAAAAAGAGCATTTGATAACAGTTTTCAATAAACTCAGCAGCATCCCTGCTCCAACAGACGGCAGCCTCCGCAAAAAATGATCGATATCATTGTTTATTGAAATTTTGGTTGTTAATTACGGTGTACCTGAGCTCGGCAGAGCTTGGAGTAAGCCATGTTTTATGATTTCCACATGAAGTATGAATAGTTTTCATCAATATCATAATTCGTACTTTTTTACACAAATTTGTGTTTGTTCATTGCTGATAAAGTACCGTGGAGAGCGAAATCATGGAAGATGGGTTGTACAGGTGTATACACTTCTGGACCTACAAATCCGTGCGGGTTCTTATTTCAAAACTCAATCGGCACACCAGGGTTCGCGTGGGTTGAACAAGCCGGTACATTTTTGACAAATAAAAATGCACAGACACAGTGAGGTTGCTGGTATTCCCAAGTCATCTTGGTGAGGAGAACTGCAGCAATATGAGAGTAATTTCAAAGCTTTATGCTTTATGCCAAATCTCCGTTCTTCTTTCCATCGGAGTTCAGGCGAGGCCATCTAAAGGTATGATTTCTGTTTTTCAACAGTTGCATTCATTTTTTTGCAAACATATATCATATTATACCATAAATTAATGTGTTTAATTAAATGATTGTTAGATGCTTGTTTAACTGCGAAAAAGGGTAAAGGTTTTTTAGATGCACAGAAATCGCATGAATTGGAACGTTTAAAAAACATAGCTTGTTTGGTAAACTTGAATATATTTGACTAAAATACAGAATGTGCACGAATCGTCAGTTGTAAATGACAAATGGTCTTCACAAGCTGTTTTTGGATAAATAATTAATGACAAATCAATAGCTACGCAAGCAGTCATCTTTAATCTTTTCCAGATTCGAATTTCTTCAAAAGTCTTTTTAATCACGAGCTAAGCGAGCGTGATGCAAGTAAGTTTAAAGCCTCTACTCCTTATTGAAGACGGGAAACGGCAATGCTAAAAAAATGATTAGAGTATCGCCACATAAATGATTCTAATTTATTTTCAGATGATGAAAGCAAAGCATTTCAAGAATGGGTGACCAGGGAACACGGCAGCAACAACGAAGGTTATCTAAGGATTGTTAGACATTTTGAATAGACTTTTCAGAAAGATTTTTGTGCAAATCAGATTGAAAGAGACTCAAGAACATTAAATGAAAGAAACTCAGGTCGTTTGGAAGCAATATCACATTTTTCCATTTTTCGTTTAGATTCTGATCATGTCGTTAACGTTGATGATGGTGGAGCGTCATTGAGTGATAATCCACCTGGAAACATCGTCATTACAAATGATGATAAGAAGAATGGTAAAATCTTGCAACATGCATTTTACATAGGACATTCTCAGGACTTATAACAAAAGCCATACAATAACATACAGTGACATAAAGTGACGTAAAGTGACATAGAGTAACATACAGGGACATACAGGGGCATATGGCGGATTCAGGATTAGGTAGAACAGCGCATCTCTACTACGTACCGCTCTAGGTTAAGATATTTCAAATTTGTATTAGATGATTATGACTATGAGGGTAAAGTTGATGGTGATTATGAAGATGATGATCAAGGAGGTGATGATAATGACGATCAGGGTGAAGATGATGGTGATTATGAAGATGATCAAGGTGAAGATGGTGATTATGAAGATGAAAATCAGGGTGAAGCTGATGGTGATTATGAAGATGATGATCAAGGTGAAGATGGGAATTATGAAGATGATGATCAGGGCGAAGATGATGGTGATTATGAAAATGATGATCAAGGTGATGATGGTGATTATAAAGATGATGATCAGGGTGAAGCTGATGGTGATTATGAGGATGATGATCAGGGTGAAGATGATGGTGATTATGAAGATGATGATCAGGGTGAAGATGATGGTGATTATAAGGATGATGATCAGGGTATAGATGATGGTGATTATGAAGATGATGATCAAGGTGAAGATGATGGTGATTATGAAGTTTATTTCAAAGATGAGCATCTAATATCACATTTCCCGTCTTTTTCTTAGTTAACAAGGACGGTCCACATCCCTTCAATTTTGAGGATAGTGAGTATAATAGCCATGCTTTTTATTTGGATCAGAATGATAACTGCTTAAATTTTCACTGCTTCATAATTTCCCTAAATCATGACATGTTATGCTAATGTGTTATCCATTCTAAATGGAAAGTACTTTCTATGCGAGATTAGAGTCCAGTAATGTCCTGGGGGGCCGGGGGGGGGAGATAAAAAGCGCGACGTTTCCATCCAACAGATATTTTTTGTTTTCTAGATCCAGACATATCCGCGTCCGATATTATATATCAAGTCAATTCGAGTAAGCTTAGAAGTTATTTAATGTAATGGATGATGATCATTAGGTCTTCTCGCAGTAGAAATGAATTTGTCAATAATATTAGATAAAAATTTTACATTAACCATTTTAAATTACCCTTAGTTATTTTACATCAGCTCATCACTCACCCTATCCTACTTTATACTTCACATATCCTACAGATGCTGGTTTGATGCATAACACTTTCGAAGAAGACATACTTATCGATCCCTCTCGAGTGCAGGAAGTGGCCTCATGGGGGGCCGAAAATGACATCACTAAACGCATGCCGACCTCGGTAAATAATCGGGAGTACAGATGGCCGGGTGGACTGGTGCCCTATAAGATTGGTAAGATCGTGATTATCATTTGGCTTTTCAAAATCCTCTATTCTGATTGGTTGACAAGCAGTCAATGTCCGTATATTCCGTATCTGGACCAGTATCCCGGATGTCTTATGCCGCTCAGCCATATAATAAACAGATTATTCACCTCACTTGCTCGATCTTGTACTGTGAAATATCAGAACGAGGTATTTTACATGAACCTCGCTCATTCGTCACTCATTCCATGCTAAAAAACCTCGGTCTGATATTTCACAGTACAGACCGAACAAGCGAGGTCAATAATCAGTTATTATTTACATTCCTTTTGTAGATTCTACTTTCCTGAGGGATCATAAATCTAATACTCAACAGCTCGAGGCTGCTAAAGCTGAGTATGCCTCAAAAACATGCATTAAACTTGAAGAACTACCGCCGGGAAGACAGAGTTATCATGTCAATCTTATCAGCGATAGTGGGTAAGCTGCATCATGAATCAGTTAAAACTGATATTGCATTGAATGAAGTGTTCTGCGGTTGTTTTCATAGATATTTAGGCGGCCACAATTATGACTAATCCTAAATCCAGGCTTAAATTAGTCGAAATGTGGATATCATTAGCAATACTCCCGCCTAATCAGTATACGATAATACAATACTAATTACTAATGGATAAAATTTTGATTACCAGGTGCTATTCATACATTGGACGACTATCCGGCATAAGTGGCTTTAGCCAAAGTCAAGATATCTCCATTGGTATAGGTTGCAACTTCAAATCAACAATTGTTCACGAATTTCTCCATGCATTAGGATTTTGGCATGAACAGAGCAGACCAGATCGGGATGACTATGTTACAATTTTGTGGCAAAACATCAGGCGAGGTAAAACCAGTTATTGATTTATGCTTTTTATTTATTCTTTGAAGAATTTAAAAGCTGCATGCGAAGCCTCTTATCTCCAGTATATTTTCTGTAACATCTTTTTCTACATTTAAATGCATTGATGAATTTGATTCCTTTCCCGGGGTTCGGTATTTTGAGAAAACGTCGTAGTTGTTCACTCCTCAGTCCTCAGTCCTTATTACGTGATTTGAAAAGCAATATGAGTCGCTTTTTCTCGCGTTATTTGGGAAAGTAATAGAGAGGATTGTTTTTCACGATCCTGGCTTTGACTATGTATATTTTTCGGCTGAAATGATCATGATAGGCGCCGCGTGGATATTTCCGAAAATTTGACAGAATAAACACGCGTTTACTGTTGAGATCGCCGAGGTTTAGCAGACCAGACGAGGAGGAGGAGGACGACCGGGAGCCTGGGCCTAGTCAAATCAAAAGGTCTCTATTATCTCTAGTCTCTTAGGATAACTCATGACGTCAACACAGAAGTAGTAATCTCTCAACAAAGCAGCCGGCAGTGAGATTTTTTATCAGTACAACATATACTGTTATAATATAACGTTCATAGTACGCGCATGCTGATTGGTCAAGAAGCGTGTTTCTATAACTGTGTAGAAACACGGGGGTTTTGTTGACGAGCGAAGCGATGAAATCCATGAGAATTTGTAATTGAAATCGTTCTCTCAAACTCCCACGCGTGTTTCTATGACTGTATAGAAACACGGAAAATGTTTCCAATTTCTCAATTATCATACAGCCCTTCCCTCTTGTCAAAGATGCATGTGGCTATAAGCTAGCTCATATCAGTTAAATATGCCTGAGGTTAGCTACCGTCATCAATGATCCATAAGAAAAACAATATAGCGTCTTGCTCTAATATCAACTTTCACACAAACAGTTAAATAGCAAAGATAATGAAACTTTTATCAAAATTACTTAGGTGTAGAGAATAACTTTCAGAAACATGGTTCAGAAAAAACTACAAACCTTGGTGTGGAATATGATTATGAAAGCGTGATGCACTATGGGAAGACAGCATTCAGCGTAAACGGACGTAAGGAAAGATTAATCGTAACAAAAAAAATACTTATTTCAAATAATTAGAAAAAATATAGTTTATAAATATAGCAGGAGCCGGTTGTATAAAAAGGTAGTTAACTTTTAACTATAGTTAGCGGTGGCAGAATTGGCCAATCAGAATCATGTATTTTCTAGTTAACTACGATTTAGCTACTTAAAATGTAGTTAAGAGTTTTTTACAACCAGCCCCAGGAATCCAGATTCAAGTATTTGATCTTTTTAAGTCCAGTTTAAAAATTTAAAATGCAGCATAAATCCTTTTCAGAACCCACTATTATAAGGAAAAATGATCCTGAAGGTCAACTTGGCCAACTGGTTTACGGCGGATTGTCTGCTAAAGATGCCGAAGAAATTAACATTTTTTATGGCTGTAAAACTCCAGGTAAGTGCTACAAGCAAAATCATGGCATACATGCATTATCATGGCATACAGGCAATATGGCATGAAATAACAAAAAGAACTACAGGTAACAAACCCCCTCCTTCTCCCAAATTGGTCTGCTACTTGCTATATATACTTATAATGAATAAATCTAATAATTTATGTTTGTTCCATTATAGGAACAACAGCGCCACCTCCGACAACACCCTCAACCTCACCTCCGACAACACCCTCAACCACACCTCCGACAACACCCTCAACCTCACCTCCGACAACACCCTCAACCTCACCTCCACCAACTATCGAGATTGAATCAGGTACTTCGCTTTTTCTACAGCAGAAATGACGAATATCACGCAATAAACACTTGCCAGTAAGATCACAGTTGAGCTATACAGCTCATCGGTGGTAAAATGGCTGCCTTGGGACACTTTCCATTCGTCCATCTTTTATCTATGACCTTGCAATAGATCTTGCCGTTCCTTGAGCTGTAGGAATCAGTTTCACTAAAAAAGGAATGTAGAAGTCCTGTACTAACCTGAATAATACTATGCTGCCACCGCAACAAAAGCTAGTAAGAATACGAGATAATAGTCACAGTAAAATACAAATGTTGCGAATGAAGGTTTCGTATGCAAGACAAAGACCAAAAAATACCTGCAGTGGCGGATAATAAACTGAAAAAATCTTGCAGTCGTACTAGATAATCGTTAGATCCTGCATGATATTTACACATCAGACGACAAACTCAATCGCTATTTGCCAACCTTCACTTCTTTTTAGTTGATGGGCAAAATCATTTGTCTTTTTTCTTTGTCTACTCCAGCTACCGGATATAAATAATTTTCTGCCTTTTTTACCGGAACGGCCATTCGGGCCATTTTCAGTAAAGTACGTTCCTAAACATATGTGACAGAAAGAAGCGTGTGGGGCGGGAAGGGAGCCATTGGGGAGCCGGGGAGGCAAGGGGAGGCAAGGGGAGGCAGGGGGAGAACTGCACATCCAGAAAAATTTGAATCCGGAAAATATAGACGAATTGTACCGAAATTTAGAAAATGTTTTGCTGAAATTTAGGGACATTTGTACTTGTGAGTTTTAGAATGACCCCTCAATGATCAAGAAGAAATACATCGCTGAATGTCGCTCTCATATACTATAAGTTATGCGCTATATGCACGGTACAGATCAGTCATTATTTGTCTCGTTCTTTTTTAAGGTGTTCGTGTGTTCATCAAAAGTGTAGGTTGCTATGATCCAGGGGTGACAAATTGCGACACAACGGAAGCAGTAATCAAAGTTAACGATGCTGTAATGTCATGTCCGAATCCTAAAGGCGCCTGTTTAACAATTCTTGACGGAGTTACAGGTAGAACATTTAAACAAAGACGTCACATACACTTTCTCGCAAAATCTCTTTGACTAGAATAACTAAGTTTGTCAAATGTAATCTAACGCCTGTATTCAAAAAGCTCACTCACACTCACACTCATTGAGCGTGACATATAAATTTTGTTAATGCTGGTCAATGAGAAAGTTTTCTCTGAATAGATGGAAAGATATAAGGTTAATCACTGAAAATCAAGCTCCTATTCGGCTTGAAATACCGCCATTGAAACATTATGAGAAGATTAAGATCTCCCACTCAATGAGTTTGAGTGTGAGTGAGCTTTTAGAATACAGGCGTAAGGCCCGTTTTAGATGTCGAACTTTTCGTGTGCCAAAGCTAACGTGAATGAGCTGGGGCCGGTTGTATAAAACTCTTCTATGACAACCTTCTTGCCATCAATCATCAAAGGTAGCCGGACAACTCGTTATAAATCACATTGCTGAATACTTTAAAATAGAATGATTAAACTGCTACTTTCAGGGGAAATAGAAGAAACAATAAACGAGATGTCAACAAACTTGGTAGACTATCTACCCATGTTATCGAGCAAACCTAAGTAAGTTGCCGATTTTATTTTGCGTATGAAGAGAAGTGGCCCAGTAGTACACAACTATTTGAGAAAGTAAGGTGATTCTATAGCATCACGATTGTTGTTGTGTTCACAGGAAATTGATCCTCGGAACAGTAAAAGGAACGTGGTCCACGCCAAGAGATCGTCGCTCTTTACGCATTCTTCGCCGTTATTTGTACAGGCTTCGTGTTTTTGGACGACGAGTTTACTTCCGCAACGCATCATTTGCTTTTATTGGATGGTCTGGCCCGGGAAGAGTCAGCGTCACTAGAGGAGTAAGAAATCATCTTTATTATCGGTTTATCCGTTTTACCATGTAAACACATGCATGGGACCGGTTGTATCAAGCTTGTTTGGCTTAAAAGGCGGATAAGTCAAAATTAGATAACACTCTTACATCACTCTTGAATGAGTCAACTTGAATTTTTTGCCCTGAATATATAGTTGTAAACAGTATCTTTGTATTAAGGTTAAAAAATGCTTAGTTTGCCTCTTAAATAGAACGATAGACTTGCTTTCTATTTCAGTGAACTTAACCACCGTGTAAGTTAAACGGGCTTGATACAACCGCCCCCTGAACTGATTTCGAGTACGGTCCCAAATTAGACTGGCGAATTGAACGTGGCCAAAATCTCCCTGAAATCCTTTTATTAACAATATAATGTATTCTTATTTACTAGGTTTATACAAATGCCAGAAGAGGACCAAGTGTCATTTCGAGGAAAATTTATTTCCCATTGGCATGAAGGATTCTGAATGAATACTCCTATATATCGTAATTACTGCACAAGAAGCACATACGCACACATAAACTGAATTGGCAAGTGTGATCGTAGATAAATTACCAGCACATTGTGATGTAATCACCACAACAAGAGTAGTGTTCAGAACTAACATGCATGTATCATATATTTTATGCCTGCAACTATATGCACCTACATGCCTCAGCTGTAAACCATAGCGAAACTGATACCCTGGTTCACAAGTTGAATGTCCAGATCGTACCCTATAACGGGTTGTAGATCAGTAATCAGAGTTACATCATAAGTTCAGTTATTCCGTAATTAAATTAGTATTATCTGTACTTTCTGAGTCTGTTGTTTAACAAATATTGGGAAGAGCCTTGTGTACAGTAGATTAAGGAGGGCACAGAGTTATTTTTATTTTCCTATCTCAAGAAATGGTGGTTATATTATAGTTGGTGGTTAGCCTATGATTCTGTCCTGCCGTTGTCTGTAAAGTGCGTTATATCTACAATCCGGCCTCGTACCCACGTTCTGTACTGGAAATTAACATCGCATTCAGGCGCTATATACAGATCAACTAGAAAAAGACAACGCGCGGGGGTGCTTGGGGTGGTTTTGACTTCAATAAGTAGCTGAATGCAGATTCCAATGAGGCACTTGGGTCCTATACGTGGACTAGTATAATTAGGGCTAATTGCAAAGTAATACCTTAGTTTAATGGTTAAATAAAGTTGTGAAACGTCATAATGATTTGCAATCCAGTGTCATGTTGCAATCTCGGTCCATTCCTTTTATTTATTTCCGTGTTTCGTCGAGGGATGGGCACCAGGCACGGCCTGGGCAAGGGAAAGGGTGTGACTAGCCGGCCGGAAATAAATCCCTACACGTTGCTTCGCCCACCATTTTGAATTTAACTTTAGTTTCAAAACATTCAGTCGAATTGCATCAGATTTTTAAGGGGAAGGTACGACGATTGTTTGTACATTCACAGGTATGTGAATACTTGAAAACTATATTACAACGAATAGCGCGATTTCAAAACTGGAACAGCACACTAAACCGGTCTGAAATCGATAAAAATTTCATACTAACTTGTACTAAACACAACAATGTTATTATTCATTTGACACGTGCTAGTTTGCATGTTTTTAGAGTATTTGTAGGTATCTTTGTTATCTTAAAACTTGATACAAAATCTATCAGTGTATCGATCAGTTTTATTTGTATAAATTTGTTTAAAGTGTTCGTTATTAAAAATGAATGTATTTAATCTAAAAACAATCGTCAAAGACGATGACATGTCATGAACAAATATAAAACATATGTTGTCTGTACAGTACAGTGCTTTGGTGATTATTAATCAAATTATAATTGTATCTGTTTCTATGTTCTGTGCCGTACAGCAACAAGCATTTATGATTCCTAATAGCAATATTTAAGGCACTTGTGGTTGTCGAGATTCACATTTTTTTTATAAATTTTAGTATTTATTTGTATTTTCTCGGTAACTTAGGTATGCCAAGTGAACAAGGAAAGTCTTGTGCCTTTTTTCTAATGTTTTTCAATTTTGAGTTGACTCAGAGGATATAAAAGCAGGCTTTATGATGAAATGGCCCTCTACGAAGTAGAGGAAATGGGCCAGAGATTAGGTTATGATTAGGGTTAAAATTGGATTGGATCTTTGATTAAATTTATGATTAGGGGTAACTAATCCTAACTTAATCGCAGAGATTCAATTTTTGTATTTAGGATTTAGTGAACGCTGAATTATGACTAAATAAACTACTCGCGCGCGCGTCTTGCGTGTATTTTTCGTATCATTTTGTCCTTAGGGAGTTTGCGGCTTTTGAGAAACCTTTTTGTACATTTCTGCAACATTTCTGAATGTTTCGTGACATTTTAGCACGCAATTTTACTAGAATACTCTTGAGACGGTTTATGAATGAATTCTTGCAACATTTGCAACAGAATAGAGACATTTTGACGCTAAATACCACCTTTGCGACCTATTTTGCAACAGTTTAGAATTTTGAAATTTATAAAAACGAAATGCTATTTCTTTTTAAGTTGAATCGTTGTGCGAAAACTACGGCACTTTGCAAAATTGAGTCGATGGGCAGGTGCTAATATAAAAAACATCTGTTTATTATGTGAAATTTGATCTGTTTTATTAATTTTGGGCCTGAGTCTAATACGCGTGCTCAGATCATGAACGGAAATAACTTGCACTATATGCGATCAAAGTCCGTAACTAGCATCTTACATATAATTTCCCCTTCACGCGTTCTTCACATGTACTCTCTGCGCGCTGATTGGCCGAGCATTTAAATTCTCGATGTTGATTGGCCCGTCCCCGTACCCGCCCACAGAGTGCATGGACAGAAAGATGGCACAACGTGATCATAACAATGAATTCGTGCTATTTTTGACTACCTTGTCAAAGTTGTATATTTTCATGCTAAACTCCCTTCGAGAATGGATGCTCTGCCTCTCTCTCCGCCTTCGACACCGACTTCTTCTAACCGAGACAGCGAAGTAAGTAGACAGGATACTGAATTTTATCGCTCTCGTGTTCGACGGCTTTCCTGACGAAAAACTTCGCTTAAATTGCAAAAATCTGCGCTTGCATATCGAATTCTAAAATGCCTATTGCGTTTTGTGTACTACCGACGATTTACTATATTTTCTTCAAACAGAATGAAGCTGTGACCGAGTCTGAAGCAAGAAAAGTTCAAGTGAAAACTGAGAGGGATATTACGGCTGTTCAATCTTTACTAGCGATGAGTCAGTGGTCGCCTCCGAGTCCCGACCATTCTATATCTCCCACAATAAACGACCCTCTATTCTCCGTTCTGGAACCAATTCAACCTATAAACAACACTCAACTCAACCACGACCAGGTATTCTAATTTTGCTCATTTTTTTTTAACAAAGTTCTCAACAAATGAACTCAATAAACGCCTCCGTTTACTCAAATATAATCCAACCTCGGTCAGCCCGAAGTTCCCTTTACATAATACTCAAAATCTTCGGGCGCTTGCCGAGTGGTCGATTTTAAAAGCTAAAATATGCAAATCCCTAAAAAAAGTTTACCCTCTTTTTCTTTTTTTATTTCAATAGTAAAGCAAACCTTGACTTTATCTTTTTAGGTCGAAAATTCGTCGGTTCTTCCAAGTCAAAATACTCTGCCAAATCCTGTTGGTGTTTTCGGGCTGCCGCCACAAAGTTTGGTCGATTTTAGCAAGCTTTTATCGGGGAATCGTCTTAATTTACCTAATACTGGAAACCAAGGGCCAATCATGATTATTTGTCCTATTGCTGTCCCGACAAGTAACGCAAATATAAATGTAACATCCGCGGCAACAACGAGCGCTGGTGAAAGAAATATTGCTCCATCCGTCGTCCCAAACGCCGCCCAAAAAACCACTCCTGAAAACAACGATAGCAGAAAACGTAACTACGTCTGTACCTATGAAAACTGCGACAAAACGTATTTCAAAAGTTCCCATCTCAAAGCGCATTTACGAACCCACACAGGTATATAATTAAAATGATAGAATAATACTGTGTCTGAAATTGACAATATTCGAAAACCGATTTTTTGCTCTTTTCGAACATTGTCCGTTTCTGAAATTGACATATCTCTATTTAGCCATGAAAATACCGAACGGTAAAAGTATTTCGTAGAAAATTGCAGCATTCCCCGGCGCGTTTCAATAATTACAGGGCGTTAAATTTGCATGCTTTGTCCATGTATTAATAACCTTCGTTAGTCTCTATTTATGGCAATTATGCTCATGAATTGCAGTCAATACTTCAGGTTTGAACGAAAAGAACGTGTAGCATACTTTTTGAAGGTTTCGCGGCCGTTTTTTATGCATTTTCCGCCTACTTTTTACCTCTGTTTTACGCCTAATGCACGCCCCTAATCTTGCCTTTCACGTGCCCATGTAGTGTTCAGTGTTTTTGTCGTCACGCACCTTGACCTTAGCGATTGAACCTTGTACCCTCTCAAGAGTCACATGTTTATTAATAACTTCTAAATAAATCTGCTTTCAACATCTACGTAAAAGAATTACGTACGTAAAGTCTTTCGTTTGCGTGTTTGAGTATTATTATTGTAATAGCATTGGTCGACCTTCTTAAATTGCATTACACTTTCATGAAAAAATCTTAAATTAATGCCTAATGAATGCTTATATATTAAATACTTATAATACTTATGGATTAAATGTCTCATCGGATGTGTCAGTTTCACCATTCAAATTAACAATAAACATATTTGATTGCATAATCAGGTTCTTGAGTTTCATTTGAGCTGAAGGCCCCAATGTCATTCTTAGTACTGAAATAGGATGATTTTCACCATCCTGTGTTGTTATTGACTAATTTAGTCACAATAATAATTATTTTGATGCTTGTTTTAGGTGAGAAACCATTTGTTTGCACTTGGGAGTCGTGTGATCGAAAGTTTGCAAGGTCAGATGAGCTTACTCGTCACAGAAGAACGCACACAGGTGAAAAGAAATTTGAATGTCCGCTGTGTCGACGGCGCTTCATGAGGTCAGATCATCTCACAAAACATGCAAGACGTCATTTAGCGGCAAAGAAACTCCCAGGTTGGCAAGTTGAAATAAATAAACTTAATCAAGTTGCTGCAGCTTCATTGTTGCCTGGCAACCTTCCCCGAACAGACGATGGCATGTTACAGCCAATCTTACCACCAACATGTCAGCCAGTATATTCATTGACGTCACCAAATTCATCTTTGGACGCAGTGATGGCAAGTTCTTCTGAATTCGGAGGACAATCGTCCACCTCTGTGACATCAAGTACAGTTTCAGCATCCACGTAGAATGACAGTTGTGGGTGTTGAAAAGGAGTGTCTTTTCTAAGCAGTTTTGTCCGGTCAAACAGAACTTTGACATTCAAGGTTGCGATGGAATAAACATATCAAGTACAGCATTTAGAAACTACTAATGTGGTTTGCTGAGAGAACATAAATATAGTTCATAATGCTGTGGTTTTAAAATCCTTTGGAGCTTCGAGTTGTTATACAAAGGTTATATAATTTAACAGTGTAAATTCATCTATTTTAAGCATTATATAGCTCCAAGCCTGTGTATTTAGATAGATTTTGATAGTCTAGACTTGCTATTGTAGTATAGGATATCTTTTTGTGATAAATACTCATATTTATTGAATATATTGGCATGACAATACATGTTGGAGAAAAAATGTGTAGAAATGCAAAACATAGGACTTTGTCCTTCATCCTTTAGTTGTCTTTTTCTTGTTGTCCACGTGTCTTTCTGATACCCTTCAGATGCTTTTTTGTCACCCTTTAGTTGGCCTTCTGATACCCTTCAGATGCCCTTTTGTCACCCTTTATTTGTCCTGTCCTTTATATAGCTAAGTAGGCCCGGTCCCAGACTTCTACGGGTTGGAATTCAATATGGCGGCCCAAGTGGTGAAAACCAAGTGTTCTGCAATATTGCTTTTGGTTTGATGTGAAACTGTTTTGTTTAGGTTTTTGTTTTTTGGAAAATGCAGGTTTCCCAACCTAACGATGTCAAGATCTATAATCTCTCTGCTGGAAAAAGTCTACCAGAGGTAAGATGTCGTTTTTTACTGCCAGGCAGGCAACACATTTCCACAGTTTAAAACTTTTTTAACCTCAGTTTAAACCTTTATGTGCGCGGAATGCTTTATGCTTGAAAGAAAAAGCTGGCCCACCATCTGCTTCTCCTCAAGTGCAGGGTATTCGGTATTCTATAGTTGTGCCCTTTTTTCTCTCTGTAGTGGCTGTCTGAAAGACGGAGAAGGCTTCTCCAAAAGGAAGATGTAGGTCAGTTGCAAATGGCTGTAATTATATATAATTTTATACAGCCATTATTTATATTATTATTTAGACATATTATTTACAATTAATGATTTCTTATTTTCTTCTATTTAGATATACGGAGACGAATTGAACTCATTCAGGATTTTGAAATGCCCACAGCTTCAACCAATATAGAAATATCACAAGATGGAAATTATATTCTTGCATCTGGTAACTACTACAACCACACATGTTCAAACCTATTTACACATATACAATATTGTATTGTGAGCTAGTATGTCATAAGTACGGCCTTTATTGGTGCAAAGATTGGTTTAAAAGACCAAAGGTTTTGCAATGAGTTTGTGGTGTATACAAACTGATCTTGACATGCAAAATTGCAAGGATGTAATTCTTATCCTGTCAGCTTATGTAATCTTCTAATTTCTTTAAGGCTGCTATAAACCACGTGTTAGGTGCTATGATTTATCTCAAATGTCCATGAAGTTTGAGCGTTGTTTGGACTCTGATAGTATGTATAACAAATGGTTTAAAAATTCTACATCTAACATCTATTTGTTGCATACATAATTGAGCAAAATATTTTCTTATAGTTGTTAGATTTCAAGTCTTGTCAGATGACTACTCCAAGGTAAAAATCAAAATGATTTTTGATCCATGAGCTTGTGGTAAATGTGCCTCAAATTTTTAATATTTTATTCTCCATTAGATTGCATTTCTGAATTGTGACAGATATGTTGAGTTTCATGCACAGGTATGTGGTTTCAGTTATAACAGTTTGGTTACATTTATAACCTGATCATTTGACATATCATTTGATATATCTAATAAATATAATTTGTATTAGTATGGACGTTACTACAGAACAAGAATTCCAAAGTTTGGCAGGGATCTTGTGTACCATTATCCTTCATGTGATTTATATTTAGTTGGAGAAAGGTACGAATCCAATGATATAGTTGAGTTAATAACAAAATTGTATCTGTGAGTATATAATTTATATCTATTGATAAAATCTGGAATTTTCAGTTCAGAAGTCTATCGACTAAATTTGGAACAAGGAAGATTCTTAAATTCATTGCAAACAGAATCAGAGTAAGTTACATACAGCTGTTTTGTGGATTAATAGTGTTTTCATATTTTATTCAAAAGTTAGAAAAATGCAATGTGAAACTTCTGTATAGATCCATCAACTGTTGTGACATTAACCCTGCCCATCAACTGCTTGCAGTCGGTACTGCTCAAGTAAGTTTAAACAAATAAAAAAGCACCATCAGAGAACCAGCAGTAGTTAATTCAATTTTTTAGTGTTTTTTTTAGTCAATCTGTTGTTGTTAGGGTTTTCCTATTGTTCAATATGTACAGGTATTATTACGAATTCTGATTGCATAAGCCTTTTGTTTCCTTCCAAGGGCCATGTGGAATGTTGGGACCCACGTTCAAGGACTCGGGTCGGTAAAGTTGATGTCGCCACAAATAACTTAGGATTAGAAAGGTGTGTTTATTCTCCCATGTCATTCTGCATCTCTCTCTCAAGAGGATAAATGCCAAACCAACCTCTCTATTAAACACCTTCTGCAAAAATTATTTGAATTGTTTCTAGTGGTTCAACTCGGATACCAGAAGTAACAAGTATGAAATACTGTAATGGTCTTCTTCTTGGCGTGGGTACCAGCACTGGACATGTAGGTTTAAATCAGATACTATTTGTTATCTACTAAGCTTTAAGCTTTGGGCTATTCAAGACCTTGCTCAATGAAATGCTCTACCCACTTGCTCACCCTGACCAAATCTTTCCAAATTCTATCATTAAAAATAACTCATCATATGTTCATGTACAAATCATTCTTTTGGCTGCTATTAAATTCCAGAGTTCATCCATTTCCAGGTATTATTGTATGACATACGTTCTGATAAACCTGTTCTGGTAAAGGACCATCAATATGGTCTGCCAATCAACAGTTTGGCATTTCAAAATGATGTGAATATGGTCCTTTCAACTGACTCTAAAATTCTTAAAATTTGGCACAGAGACTCAGTAAGTTGTGATGTTAGAAGAATCAAAATAAGCTACATGACATACATGTGTCTTTTTTAGAACGTTAGGAGAATCGGCGTACTAAGAGAGCGCTTATTTTTTTAGGGGAAACCATTCACAGCTATTGAACCTGGCACTAACATAAATAATTTGTGTTCATACCCAAACTCAGGTGGGTTTGCTTTTTGAATGGAATGTGCTGAGAGATCTTGCTGAAAGATCTGAAGTAAAACTATCAGCAAAGATAGTCATTCTAATCTATTGACTCCAAATCTAAATACAGGTTTGATATTTATGGCAACGGAAGCTCCAAAAATGCTCGTCTATTATGTTCCGGTATGTGATCAGTTCATAATGTAGTTTATTGTATCATTTGTTTGTTCCTCGACCACTTGCATCGTTCATGTAATGGTTTTTGTTCCAGTCTCTGGGCCCAGCCCCAAGATGGTGCTCATTTCTTGACAGTTTAACTGAAGAGTTAGAGGAAGATTCTCAGCCTGCGGGTATCGTATTGAATATGGATTTATTAATATAGTTAATCCTAAAAATAATCCTAACTCACCCCAGTTTTAACTTTATTTCTAACCTTTTAATCTAATCCGCTGACGTTAAATAAATCGATATCTATACGATTCTTCTTTTTCCTGCGCTTGCAATAACCAAAGCCTCATAATATGGTCTATATGCTGGTAGACTAACGTATACGTTTCTTCAATTAAACGTTTTAGTGTATGACGATTACAAATTTGTAACGAAGCAAGACTTGACAAGTCTAGGATTGTCACATTTAGTTGGTACAAATCTTCTTCGAGCTTATATGCATGGCTTCTTCATTGATATACGATTGTACCATAAGGTAACCTAGTTTCATATTATTCATTTGCTCGCATTTTTTGTCAGTTTTGAAAGAATATTTTCCTTTATTGAGGCACCCGTGAATGTTTATTATGTGCGTAAACTTTCAGGCCAAGGCCATTGCAGAGCCGTTCGCTTACGAGGACTACCGCAAGAATTTGATAAAGAAGAAAATCGACGAGGAACGAGAAAACAGGGTTGTTGCTAAGGTAGTGTTGTATGTCAAGTAAAACGTGTCAAAACGAGGACCATCTACGTACTGTATTGCAATATTTTTCTTGTTCATCTATTTAGAAGTTGCCAAAAGTCAATCGTCAACTCGCAGAGAAGCTATTGGACGAAGTGTCAGAGAAAAAAATCGTTGGAAAAGTAAGGCGAGATATATCAGATAGTGGCACCTTCACTATTGTTTCTCTAGCTACTTTATGTAACACGAGTTAATCATCTCTGAGTTTGAACGACTTTTTTTCTGCCTCGTGAAATAGGTTGACGTCAGCAATCCTCTTGGCGATGAACGTTTTGCCGCCATATTTACCAACCCAGATTTCGAAGTGGATGAGGACAGTGAGGTACGTCATGTCAGTGAATTTTTTCGCGTTTTTTTCAACTCATCACGTTGACCTCTGTATCAACTGGATTCATTTCAGCAATACCAACTACTTCATCCTATAATTTCAAAACGAGATAAAGAAAGGAAAGAGAAGAAGAACGAACTGGACAAAAGGTTGGAAGATTTCAACGAGATTTCGGTAAATATTACAAGATTTGTACATTTAAATTTTTGAAAAACTTTGTTTGCCTTTCGTAAGTACGTGTACTTGAATACTTCGTTTTAGGATGGTGAAGTTGAAGGTGTTGCAAGCGACGTGGATGAGTCTAGTTCTGATGATGATTATGAATGGAGACTGGAGTACAAGAAACAGCAGAGAGATAAACAGGGCTCCAACAGGAAGCCTAAGTTTTATGAACTGAAATCTGGCGAGGAATTCACATCCGTGAAACAACCAGAGGATGACAAGCGAAAGAAAAAGTTAGTATCGTGCTGCTACGATGATTAAACTGCATCACAAGTGTCACATCTTATTTTTATCTTTCAGTGTTTCCCTAGGAGATCGATTGAATGAGGGATTGGACACGAGCATTATAAAATCCAGCGGTTCCTCGTTTGGTGGCAAAGAAATCGTATTCAAAATTGGCAAGGTAGAGACTTTGAATTGTGATGTTTTGTCTTGTTTTCAGTACTTTTAACGATGCGAATAATTCGCTCTTGCGATTCTATCCTTTTGATAGATGTGAACGAGTAGATAAATTACGGATGTTCAAATGAGAGCACTTGTACCGTGGACCTTTCATAACTACTCGCTCGTTCACATCTATCTTCAATGTCTATCATTAATCAGATTTTTCAGTCTGTTTCTTGATTAAAACATTCTTTCCATCAGAACCAACAAGAGATTGCGGAGGAAAACGTCGCAAAGGCTCACAGGAACGAGAGGCAAAAACTTCGTCGCTCAGCC